TTTTCCTAAGACACCAAGAAAACCGCGTAAAAAAAGTAACGAAGAACAGGAGTGATTGTAGACTGATTTGGGTGGAATCAAGGAAGAATTATTTTCAAAAAATTCGCAGTTAAAATGCCACGATTCATTTAGATGAATATCCCTAAATAAACCAGAGACACTAATTAAACAGATATTTAATTAGTAATAGTAATTAGTAATAGACATCCCATAAATACTGCGAGTTTTCATTGATGTTTCTGATTGGAAAAAATTAGAAGTTAGTATTGAAAAGTTGGTAGGAAGATTGCAAAATGTAGAAAATGAGGAAAAATATATACAGGTAAAAGATTATGTAATTGTTTTAACCTTTAGAGGACGGGCAGGTTTTTTCACGACTTTTTATTTTCAAGTTACAACTTTTATATATCTATCATGGTGTTATACTGCGAAAAAAATGCGATCCCTCTGGAGTCTAAAAATAGGCTTCCCGTCCTCTACAGGTTAATTACGTTTTTATACTTCATCTTCAACAAACATCAAAGAAAATTCGCATTACTTATGGAATGATCCCAATACATATTTTCTGAAATGTGCAAAGTTGATAATAACTCGTTTATTTCATAATTTAAGTAACCTTTTAACTCTAATTCTGTGGCATTCCTCGTTTAGTAACATAAATGTCCGATGACTTATGGACGGAAATATAAAATACATTTATCTCGGTCAAAATTCTTTTTACGGCACGTCGATAATATTAGAAGCTCCTTACCGTGTCCAATACTCGGTGCTGGGGTATTCCTCGTCTTTAACGACGAAAATAAATTCCAAGTTCCATAATTACGGGCAAAGCGGTGGAGCAAGGAAGTTTCGAAAATCGCTCGAGAGCGCTCGCTCCTACGAGTGGCTCACTTCTGCCAGCCCTCGAGACTAAATTAAATGACGCTGGGGTGTCATGAACCCTAGTTTTAGCGGCGAGAGGGTTGGAACGAAGGGTGGCGGCAGTGGGGTTACCGGGTCGAACAGACGCGCGAGACAAAAAAAACATACACAGGAAAAAAAGGAGGAAGTATTGAGTGTGCAAGAAAAGGCTGGAACCTTCCCCCTTAACCGACACGACCACTTTTTGATCATGCGTTTAAGGGATGTGTGTACGCAGGACCGTGGTGAGCGGGCCGAAGTGTCACGCTCCATTGGAGACCGCCTCTATTAAGCGGCTACTTCAAGAAGACGCCCGGACGTATCGAGGCCGCCACGATTTAATAATTGAATTAGTCCACGCTCGTGGTAACGTTGATTGTTCGGCAAGATGAATAACTCTAACCACCTACAAAACTTTTAATCGCGAAAATTATTTTATTAGACACTTGTAAATTGGGTCGGTCGTCGCTAGGGTAGCTGATGTTACGTGTCATCCATGGGCGTAGCCGGGTTATCAGTCGGAGAGAGGGGACGATTGTATTTTCCTTTCTTGGGGTTGGGGAAGGGGGGGGGGCAAAATCCTATTTTTTTCTAGAGTAGGGCAAAAGCAACTTTTTTCCGTCCGGGGGAAAGACAAGTGTCCCCTTCCTGACAGTCCTGGCTACGCCTATGGTGGCATCGGTGTACGTTAACCCTTAAGCATGAGCGTAACCAGGTTATCAGTCAGGGGGGCAAAAATATTAACACATCGACTGCGACAGTGAAAAAGGCTGTACGTAGCCAGACACACTGAAAATGTATGCGTTTTGTTAATAGAGGGTATTGGTCGTGTTTCAAATTATACTGCAATATTAAATATTACGCAAAAATTTTGTAACTCTAGGAAGGAAGGGGAGGGGGGGGGAGCAAAACCCAATTTTTTTTCTTGTAGGGTAGGGCAAAAGCTACTTTTTTCTGTCCACCCTGCCCCCCATGGCTACGCCCATGCCCTTAATTTTTGCAAATATAATAAAACGTTTATAAATTACTGATTTATGAACCATACAGCTATAGAAAAAGAAATTTGAAAAGTCCATCTCATTTTTTTGTATTGTTCTATTTAAAAACAGCATTTGTTGCAAAATAGCTACACCATGTAGAACAGATAAGCAAATTTCCAACTAATTGGCGTGAGAATTTCTGAAACAGTTATTATTTCTGTTCAGACATACATCGTGTGACTCTATACTTTTCGTATTTTGTATGCGTCAAGCCAACTGCATGTGGGTAATTTACACAGTTTTGAATCGTCGATTGTAGGCCAATGTCTAGTTTGGTCCTGCTTCTTTTCTTGTGAGAGTCCGTTTCTATACCTTGGTAATATATTAGATATTCGGATTCACCATGCAGTAAATGTTAATGTTTTTACTACATTAAGATATATAGGCATGTTGTCAAGTAACAACACTATGCATTTAAGGGTTAAGAATCACGTGGTCAAATTCCTTCGAAGAGTAATTATATTTCACTACGCCGCGCCGCGGTGAACGAGAAAAAAGAGCTGACGTTTGCTAGTATCAAGCATTTCTGTATTCGTATCGTCTTAATGACTTGATGCGATTAGATTTACACAAATCAAATTTAATCTGTGAATCCCTTTGAAGGTTAGACGTGTACTAATTTAAAATACGTTGGCGACACGATATAGTAAGAGGGTGAAACATGTAAAGTAGAGGAAACATAATTTATTACGCTTTAAATCTTAGGACATAGTTACAGATGTATGTTTAATTACGTAATAAAATCGGTAACATTACATTAAAGTTGTGTCTACGAGTTGTATCATACTTCTGCGCACATGATTATTATATTCAGAGAACACAAACAGATAGCCGAAAGAAAGCAACGGGAATAACACCTATTAATAAAAATCAAATGTCTATTCACAAAATCGAGCTCGTCAAGTATCATGATAAAAAATTGTAATGAATTGGCTGTGTACAAATTTATTACGTATGTTGCTTTATTCTCTCCGTTCTTGCTCCAATTTCATCTTTTTCAACCAATTGCAGCATAAATTGTTTCTAAATGAGTTTCAATCCTTACTAAATTGGTAAAATGCTAGTCGATTGTTGTAAAAATGATAATATCACATTGAAGCTACTAGAACAATACACGTGCTTCTGAAGTTTCATCGAACGAACGTTTTACGCGCAAAAATATAAAAAATTCATAAGTCTTACTCAATTTCATAAGAATAACAGGAGTCTTTTCAAAAACTGCACAATGCGTTCAGATATATAGGTAGGTACTGGATTCGATCATGCTAATAAAGAGGTCTCAACCGAGGCTGAATAATACATCGCGGAAGAATGGAAATATATTTTATTTTTCAATCTGAAACTTATCCATCCACGGACACGCGCGCGCGCGCGCATGGAACACGTTCCGACCAATATAAACGGGAACTTACACGCCCTGCTCAAGCTCCAACGTTATTGCGATAACTCGCCGAGGCGAAAGCATTTATTTTCAGTCCGCCTTCACACCCCACGGAAGGAACCTTTACATGCAGAGACGAGCGGGTACTCGTGTGTGTGCACGCGCTCCTGCGTTTGCGCGTCTCTTTATGCGGTATCGCAACCCAGTTCCATGTGGTTGGGAATCGACAAATAGAAAACGAAAAGCGCGTACGTAGTCCGTGAATCTGATTAGGCATACCTCGCTGGACACACGAACAGCCCCCGACTAATTTAACGAACGCTCGAAACCTATAGCCGCGTGTCCCAATCGGGGTTTAAACGACCGTGCCGGAATCGTTTTCAGTCGGTCTGCCTTTACAAGAGATCTTCGGTAACCCGAAAGTTCCGACTTTTTAAAAGTTTGAACATTTGAAGCGGATCTCGATAAAAGTGTGAGGCAATTTCTTTTTTGCTACTTTTCGGGTCTGCAGAGTGAACACGTCTCTTAAAGATTAAAGTGTACTTTCCTATTTCCCTGTACATTTATCTTGAAGAAAGCCATAGTAGATATATTAAAATTGTGAGGATAAAAGTTTAATGACTTTTTATGCTTTGTACAACTGTGCAATGAAATTATTAAAATTTCTCGTTTAAATAAATAAATAAGCAAATTTTTAACAATTGCATCGCGTAGATCTATAGAGTATAAGATGTCATTAAGTTTTTATACTAAGAATTTTTTTATATCTACATAGTATGTTTCTCCAAAATATATTAGAAAATAGGAAAACACATACACGTATTAACCTTCAACCTCTTTCGCTACGGGGGAGTTGGCTGCCAGTATGCTGCAACTACACTTTGCAGCAAACAGTGTAACATCTGCTTAATTACTGCATGTAATTACTTACATTAATAAAGTTTAAATCAATTCTTACCTAATGCGAAATTTTGACAGGTGACTACGTCACCCTTAGGGTACACAGCGAGCGCTCGACGTTGGGTAACTATAGTCACCCTTAGCAACGAAAGGGTTAACGGTTAATATGTGTTTTCCTATTTTCCTGTATATCTTGAAAATTATAATAGATATAAAAGAATTATTATAATGAAAATGTAATGGATTTTTATGCTGTATGAAATTCTGCAATGAACTTGTTAAGAATTTGTTATTTAAATTAATAAATTAGTAAACAAGACAATTTTAAACAATTTAATTACACAGTTTTATAGAGCACAAAAAGACATTAAATTTTCATTTCAATAATTTGTTTATATATACTATAATTTTTAAGATGTACAGGAGAATAGGAAAACACAGATTACCCTTTAAGACAGGCATGTCAAACTCATATGATATTACGGGCCACATGATCTATTTTGTATTAAGTTGGGGGCCGCATGTTTTCAATGTTCAAAAAATTAATAAAATACGATTTTTAGAATGATTATATTATGTATTATGTATTTATTAGACTCAATGTCAAGCTCAATGTATTGTATATTATACATACATAGTCGTTTTATATTTCATGTCATTTTTTAAACTAAAAAAATATTTTACATTTTATTGTATATTGTATATTATTCTAGTTGTTTTCGCCAAAGTAATAATTTTTGTTTGAAAGCGTTAATATTATCAAATAGCGTTGTAACAACATGATTTTTGCCTTGAAGCTTAAGATTAAGTTGATTAAGATGACTTGTAATATCAACTGAGAAAGCCAGGTCCTTTATCCATTGTCCATCTTTTAATTCAGCACATTCATAATTTTTTGTTTCCAAGAAAATTATGATTTCGTCCAGCAATTTGAAGAATCGTTTTAACACTTTATAACTCGAAAGCCATCGAACTTCCGTATAATATGGTAGATCGGTGTATTCACATTCTATATCTTCCAGAAATGAAGCAAATTGACGATGATTAAGTCCACGTGCTCGAATATAATTTACAATTTTGGTGACTATTTTTAAAACATGTCCGATATTTAAAACTTTGGAGCACAGTACTTGCTGGTGAATAATACAATGAAAATGTTCAAAATTATTATTACCATGCTGTTTGCATGTTTCTTTTAATCTTGCAACAACTCCTTTAGTAATACCGGTCATGGTAGGTGCACCATCAGTTGCAAGACAAACGAACTTTTCCAATGGTAACTTATACTTCTTAAAAACTTCCATAAGTGCATCAAAAATATCAGCTCCAGTGGTTGTATTATGCATAGGAATGATTTCCAAAAGTTCTTCACTTATTTTTAAATTAACATCGCATCCGCGAATAAAAACGGCCAGCTGAGCGATATTTCGAATATCTGTACTTTCATCAATTGCAATAGAGTAGGCTTGAAATGTTGATATTGTTGAATTATGCTGATTTCTCAATTTCTCGGCTATTTCATCAATTCTGCTAGCTACAGTATTTCGACTTAAACTTACACTTTTAAATTTCTTTATTTGTGCTGGACATAATACTTCCGCCGCTTTAATTAAGCATTCACTAATAAATTCCCCTTCAGTAAATGGTTTCGATCTGCTTGCGATTAAATGTGATAATATATAACTAACTTTTACAGCAGCTGTATTGTCTTCAACACATTTAGTGAATACACTTTGTTGTTTTTGAAGAATTGATTTTAATTCCGACAATTTGTCATCAGGAAGTTTTGCAACGTATTGGTCATAGTTTGTTTTATGATTTGTGTCATAGTGCCTTTTAAGATTATATTCCTTAGCAACTGAAATAGAGTTTTTACATATCAGGCATAATATTTTATTCTTGTTTTGGACAGAAAAATTTTGCAGTTCCCATTTTTCTTGAAAATTACGATGTTCCTCTTCAATTGATCTTTTCTTACTCATTGTTGTTGAAGTTTGATTATATTTTTATTAAATAACTTTTTAGTTTAATATGAATAAAAACCAAAATCCACTTTAGAGTTCAAAATATCATTCGCAAACGATTGAGCAAACACTGCACTTTGTGACGACTTGGACAAACATGTGTCGTGTGTCGCATTAGATCGCTCCGCGTTCTATCATGTTTCTGATCGTCTTGTGTTTTTATCTCCGTTCGGTTTCGACCGCCGCTTTTCATTTGACGCCTCGCGCCAGCGTCAACCAAAAAGTTCAAACTTTCCAACTTCAAGCGTCAAAGCTTGATATTTAAAAATATTTCAAAAGTCTCGGCGGGCCGCAACCTATGTATTGGCGGGCCGCGTGTTTGACATGCCTGCTTTAAGAGGTACTTCCACCCTGAAAAACCAAAAAGTAGCGAAAAAGCAAAATATCTGGTACTTCAATCGAGGTTCCCTACAAACCTGCAAATTTTAAGGGAAATCCGACTTTTCGGGATTACCGAAGTTCCGTTATTAGCAAAGAACTTCGTACATACATTTGCATACTTCACGGGGCGTATCTCCTCCGCATCGCAGTCCGACTTCCTGCCGCTACGGGAATCGTGTTTTACTGAACAGGTTAATTATCTCGCCACGATACGGAGCAGAAAATAGATTTGTGATGAAAACACGTTCGAAAATAAAATACAAGCAACGGTGTCGGTATTGGACATGTGTGTCAAGATTAAGGTGGAGACACGTAGAGAACATTACGTACATTATGCGACACGCATACGCCGCTTTCATGCATCGGAATCGGAATACGACGATCGCCGTGCGTCATTAATACGCGATGCAAACCAATGATTACGCATGCGGGGAATTGATATTAATGACTACCGTGTTTCTTTGTTGCGGGGTACACGAGATATCCGCTAAAATGAGGAATCTGAACCTAGATAAAACAATGTTTAGATCCATTTTAATGTGGCTAAAAAATTCCTATAGGTACATACACACGTTCGGTATTTAACAACGTTGAAACTTGTCTTATCAATAAATCTGCCTCTAAAGTGAAAAAGAATTAGTCAAAGGTATCGCCTAAATGATAAAAAATTCTTGTAGATTCGAGTAGATCTATAGAGATGTAGTAAGAAGACGAAAAAAATAAATAAAGTTTATAGAACGATGGACAACTTTTCCGGTTAGATACACGATATAGGTATGCGTATTGTACGAGTTACGGTTTCTAGAGTTTCCATAGTTTCAGGACAACGACCCTCGTCTATTAACACTAATTCAGCACGATTCCAACAATATCTTTTGTAGATATAAAGCCTCGCGTCGTTAGACACGAATTAGTAAAAAATTGTCCATTTCATTACTATTTCCGTTTTCAGCTTGGATTCACTTTTGCAATGCCTCAATTTTCTACAGTCTAGTAGTTTTTGACATAAATAAATTGCTATTTTGAGTGTGTAGACAGTAGAAGTTCATAAAGCTTTAAGTTTGCAGTACATAGCTCGTTTTACAATTATTTAGTATTTCCTTATGTTAAATCATTTGCTTCATCTTCCTTCGTATTCATTGTTACTTTTTTGGAAAATTATATACTGAAATGAGAAGGTTTAATCCATTTATCTACATAGGGGAAAGGTGTCTAAAACGATCCCCCGGGGTAAAATGATTCCTGGCTGATCTGTGGATATTAGTGGTGCTATATCGTAATGTCGTTCTACAATAGTTCTCTGCGCACGTCACTAGTCGTTGCTCGAAGTGCCATGTGAATATCAGTGCTCTGTGCGTTGTTCACAAGAAAAATTTAAAAAACTACACAATACATTCAATGTTGTGTAACTTTTGTCATAAATGGTTTAATGTGACAGCTGCTTCTTGCGCGGATTTAACCACAATTCAATAATAAGTTAATTAATGTTTCGTTACCGCATGTAATAAGTTGATGTTATACGCAACCACTGAATGTGAGTTGGGTGTTTGGGGTCATATGATCCCTCTCTAGTAGAATAAAATGAATCATTTTACCCATATGCTATATTATTGTTTTTTGTTTTAGTTACAACAATGCCCTGTGAGTATGAAAGAAATCCAACGCGTCAAAGCTGTTTTTATTTAAATAAAATGTAATAATAAATGAAATGCTTTTTAATGTTCGTCGTATTTACTATCAGTAGGTATAAAATGACATACATTACAAAATGATCCTTAAGTATACCTTCAAAGAAATGCGAATAAAAAATATAATTGATCACGTAGCTAAATTTTATTTAAGCCAATGATAAGATAGATAGACTAACTAACAAAAACTACTTTACTTTTATTTAAATAATGAGCATTTGTATTTTTTATATAAATTACGCCTTAAAGGGATCGTTTTAGACACCTTTCCTCTACATTTCATTTTTATTATTCCTTAAAAGAAACACCTGTGAGTACTATGCATGTATATGTTCTTCTTTTTGGGTCATTATTAACGTCAATCTAGAATATTTATATCTCCAGATGATCTTTACACTTCTTGTTTAGCTGTTTATATTACATACACTCCTTCACTTGTTAATGAATGCCCAATTGTATAAAAGAGAAAAAACCTCATTACATGTATATGAAAAAGATTAAAACCTTCTATGAGACATATACTTTCTGAGTATGCATACAAAACCATTATTATTAGACATTGTAATAAACTTTTTACTTTTGTATATAATTGTTACTACATGATGGTACTCTATAATTTATATAATTTTGCAAGGGGAATAGCTATAAAGGACAAAAATTCTATAACAATAAGAAAACATCAAATGCTTTTGTGGTTAATGTAGCATTATAATGAATAAAATGCTCGCACTGTAAACCCTGCTCTTTTCTGAATGTTCACACTAATCATACGACATATTTCCTAATCAGTTTTAAGAACCGGATGAGAGGTAGTGTAAAAAAACGCACGTACTCCCAACAAGTGTGGGCTTATGTTGCATAGCAACGTATTGTAAGCAATCAGATGTACATAACTCTGACTCGTCACTCGTCCTTTACGCTTCTGGTTTCATTAATTTACGCATTAAGAGACAATACTTGTATGAGGTCATTCATGACAATCTTTACCATTCGTGCCCTCGTTTTTGGCTCAAGTAAATTTTAGTAAAGGAAAATGTGTATACCAATTGTAAATCATAAATCACCTATAAACAAATTATTTATATAGATAGTAGAACACCTGGTCTGTATGAAGAAAATGTGATATTTCATAAAAATTGTATATTTTGAGTCATTACTAGCCCACTTTTCAGAGCTTCCATTTTGTTCGCGTGAACAACAAACTCTCAAACACCAAGTATTGTTTTAACAAAACTGTTAAATAATACTTCATTGAATCAGTTGACCTTTTTACTGTATAAAATTGAAATTACATAATGAAGACAATGAAATCTTATAGATTTTATGTATTTCCAATATACAAAGGGAAAGA